ATTATTATTATTATTATTATTATTATTATTATTATTATTATTCAGCAACTGGCAAGCACCTCCAATCCTATAATTAAATAAGCGAGTCTGGAGATTGAAAAATGGGAAGGAAATCTTAATGAAAGAGTTTAATCTTACCTTTTGTCCTTTTGAACCGGCTGGACCTGGTGATCCATCAGGTCCTGTCAATCCCTTTTGAAATAAAAAAATTAACTTTTAGTGCAGTCAGTGGCTAAAATGACTGAAAAAAACAAATGTTAATGATCTGCTAGATAAGCATTTTTTCTCTATATATGCATGGGCACAGACATACATTAAGGGTAGAATTCAAGACTTTTTAGCTTCCAATAAAAGGCTTTCTTCAGACAAATTTCAGCATTCAGATGCAACACCCTATGCCCAATTTAAAGAGACTTTAAATTGGGTGAAGGGTGCTGCACCTGAATGCTGAAAGGCCCCCAATTATGAAATTTTTATCTTGAAACTAGAGATCTGTTCCCATTCAACTCAGTAAGGAAATGCCTCAAATTTTAAGTTGGACCTGGTATTACTTTTTGGCTCACAAAGCATGAGAAGAAGAAGCAGGATATGATCCAAGGTTTGAGAGTAATGTTTTACTTGAGGACAGTACATTTCATATCTGCCCGCCCGGCTTATGGTGAAGCTAAGATTAATCAGGAGCCTTTTAGTTCAAACACAATTCTATCAAACAGAATCTATGCCTTTGAACAACTGTAAAGCTAAATATTTTGGAAAGTAAATGTATAATGTATTTTTCATATACATTTTTATTTTTAATAAGAAAGAGGTTTCTTGTTCACTGATATTATCACGGGATATGGCCAATAACAAGAGTTGCTGACCACTTTACTACCACAAATAATCCAAAAAATTACAAAGAAACTCAAAGGTTGTAACTCAACTTGCTAGTTATATTTCAGGATCCATTATGACTCCTAGATGTTCATCTAATGCTTTGCATACATTGGAATATATATACTGCAAGCACTACCGTAGGTCAGTGAAATATATTTTCCTTCTCCCTCAGATGTGCCCAGTACAGTTATCAATTTTTAGACAAAACCCAGGAGGTAGAACTCATGTTTGTTAGAGGCAGTGGTGGATTAAGGCTCACTGGTGCCCTAAACACTGACAAATCTTGATGCCCCCCCTCCTTTGTACATACTGTACAAATCTTCATTGTTTTTCTTTCTTTATGAACTTTCTGGTGCCCCCTTGGGTCTGGTGTCCTAAGCACGTGCTTAG